CACAAACAGAGTCACAGGCAGGACTGAGTATGGCGTGCCTGGCCCAGGGCCTCTCATGAGAAGGAGTATTCGAGCAAATAGCAGGCTGTTTGGGTAACAAGGCGAGAAGCTCCTGGGCCCCTGACAGCCTGCACCCCCTGCAGCTGGAGCTGGTCGCAGTCCTGCCTGTGGCGGGGAGGCAGGCAACTCTGGTATCATGTGACATTTCAAGATCAATTCTTACAGGAAGGAAGCCCTAAAAGAGCCCATCCTACCCTCCTTGCTGCTGACCGTAAGCCTAGAAACCCTCTCTTTCCTTGTACAAGCACAATGAACCTGCTTCAGCAGTCAGTGAAGTAATCCCTGTGTCCTCTCTCTTGCACAGCAGAGAAAAACAGTCAGCGCCCGTGGCTGCCTCCCTCCCTGTTCTAAGATTTCCCCTTACTGTGAATCTTTTTGCTTCTATGTTGCAGCACCGCTTCCAATCCAGGACAGGACAGGCAGGCCGACATCATGATTTTTCTTTGGTGCCACTCACAGTCTCGTGCTTTGCAGCTCTCCTTGACCTCCACAGAACTGGCGAATGCTGATGGTTCCCATCTGCCAGAGGAGTCACGTGATCTTTGCACAGAAGTCAGAAAAAGTTTCAACACAGGCATAAGCACTTCCCTGCCCGATACAGCGAGTAGCCACAGCCTCTACCCTGTGCATGGTCTGACACTTGCACAAGACTCCATCTCTGTACAGCTGGAGTTGTACATGGGCCACACACACGTGAACACAGCATGGCTGCCAGATTCCAAGTGCAGGACAAGAGAAGGCGCTGTCTGCTAGTGGCCAGGGATGGCATCCCAGAAGAGTGAACTTTGCTGGCCACTCAAGGACAGGTGAGGACTTGGAGAGAGGAGCTCAGGTGAAACAAGCCACAAATAAAGGGTGCCGTTGAAATGATGTCAATGAAGCAAGATGTAGGGTGGGGCAGGCAGAGGCAGGTAAGAGTTGGAAGACCATAAGGAGTTCTGAATGCCAGATAACAAATTGGATTTCCCACCACCTTCAAGAAATAAATTATAGAAAACACTAGACAGATGTTAGGAAGTTAAATGAAGCCTAAAAGTGCTGGAATTTCCAAGCTTAGGGAGAACCTTTGGGGGGTAGGGCTGATCCTGGCCTGGCTGGGATGATAGAAGCCCTGGGGAAGGCTGGACTGGAATGAGAGAGTGCTTGATGGGGCAAACTGGGGCAAACTGAGGACATGTGGGTAGGTGGAGAGATGGCACTGAACAGGATTGGGAAGGGCAGGCGGGAGGTGGCAGGGTGCTGCACACAGCAGGCTCTCCAGGGCCCATCTGCTTGGAGGGTGACCAGGAGAAACCCACCAGAGGCGGGAGATGTGGGGGCTAGGTATGTGAAGGTGAGAATAGGGTCCATGAGCATGGATACAGGAGAGAGGTTGTGGGACAGATGCTGGGAACTTTAGGAATCACAGAGGGGTCACTGAGGTTAAGCAGGAGGAGGATACAGGGTGGGTGCTAGGAGGCCTGTGTCTCTGCTAACACTTCCATCTTTAGCCTTCAAATATAGGCCTCTCGTTTGATTCAACACTGCAGGAGAGAAGAGGTCAGGGCCATGGGGTTGGGCTGAAACAACAGAGGTACAAAGCCTTTTCTATAAGAAACAAAGATAAGAGAAAAGGGCCATGATGAGACAGATGACACAGACAGCACAGACACAGCACAGACAGCCTGTTCAGGACAAAGAGGCTGGAAATATGGAAACCAGTTAAGTATGTTTGTGGGCAGGATTTGAGGACTCAAGTAGTCAATGTTTGCTAATGACAAACAAACAAACAAAAAACCCGAACTATCTTTCCATTTCTGTATTTTGAGGCTTTTGCATAATAGAATGTGAGAAGCATCTCTAGCTGAAGATTTTCACATAAATAGTTCTTTCAAAACTGACCATTCTTGGTGCCTAGACTGAATATTTTAAGTCTTAAAAATGACCCAGAATCAAGAGGATTTGGGGGTGTTAAAGCTTCTGTCTATGGCTCTCCGGGGGTCATTCAGCTGCTCACCTGAGTCTTAGAGTCAGGCCGCAGCCAGGGAGGAGGCCGGAGCGCCTGGGAGTCCGCCATCCGGGCGGTTGGGCTTGTGGGCAAGGATGATGGTGAGAGCACTGCACTCCTCTGTCATCGGTGGCGTAGCCCAAACGCTCCCGACCCTGTGGTGAGAGAGCAGGCTGAGCGGCGCCACCCTGAACCAAGAGGACCGCGGCTCTCTCAAGCCGAAATCTGCCTGGTGTGTTCACGTTGGGTTGGTGCCTGCTCAGACTTTCACTGGCACGTGCGGGAAGGAATGTCATCCCTGATCCCCAACACTCTAGGAGACAAGCCCAAACCCAGTGTGCAGACATCTTTACTTAGCCAGTGAAGCTGCAGGTACCCAACTCATTCCCAGCTCTTGTGCTAGGATGGGAGTGATTTCTGTGTTATCCACCCCTCAGTATGGTTTAACTCACTGCTCATGAACTTTCCCCAGCCAGCTCAACACACAGCTCCCACATGCAGTGCTGAGCTACCTGATCTCTCCTGCCCGACATCCTCTCGTTTCTGTCCAGATGGGCGCACTGGGCAATATCCGGGGGTGCTGCTCCAAAGCCACCAGCACGTTGCAAGTCTTGAAGTCAAAGCCTGGGCTGGAAGCAAAGTGAGCCTAAGTGGGGCACAGGTCAGAGGGAGGGGAGCCATGAGCTTCCCGATGGATGGCTCAGTTCGACATGCCATTTTGGTGTCAAGGGTGGGGTGTCCTAACTAACCAGAGGTCTGTCTAGGCCCTGGCTGAGAGCCCAGGATGGGAGAGGCCCTGCACCTTCCCATGTAGAACTCTTTGGCCAATGAAAATTCTCAAGTAGTGTATTTTAGTTGTGCCCAGTAGAACTAGTTAGCACACACACACACACACACACACACACACACCTACAGAGACCTGCAGATTAAAACAAGGTGATGCAAAGCTCCTCTGGCTGGGGACGGTGGCCCAGCTCACACTGCCCTTAGGCTCTCCACAAGTGCCTCATAGGAGACCCAGTTTGCTATCACTGCTAGGAAAATCAAGAGCCCTTTTGACACTGTCACTCAGAAGGCAGCTGTGCCTGAGACAACTATAAACATATGAACAAATATGAGTGGCACATGAACTACCCAGACAGACTCGAGCAGCAATACATGCTGGAAGGGAGAGTGAATGGGTGTGGGAGAGTGAGTGGGTGTGGAAGGGAGAGTGAATGGGTGTGGGAGGGAGAGTGAATGGGTGTGGAAGGGAGAGTGAATGGGTGTGGAAGGATTCAAGTGAAAGGCTCCAAGGAACATCATGTTAAACACTGAACAAGAAACTAAAAATGGAATGGAGTAGAAAGAGAGGCTATCAAGGAAGGGGCTTTTTGGAAACACAAAAATTTCATCAGAAGCCTGCAGCACACCCCACACCCATGGCAGAACGACACCCACACCCATGACGAATGACAGGTGCAAAGACCCTGAGCAGGAACGAGCTTGGCCTGTCGGGGGAAGCTAAAGAGCCAGGGAGTCCGGAATGTGTGTGGCGGGGGAGCAGAGTCCAGGATGAGGGCAGGGGCGGGCACTGCGTAGACATGTAGGGCAGTGCAACCCAGCACGCACTCTAAATGTCACAAGATGGCCCGGGGAGGATGACTGGGGTGAGAGATGGAGTCATATTTACATATTTCCCACATCATCAACCTCCATGAGGCTGAATTCACTGGACAGTCCTGGGCCTCCCATCATGCAACCCATCAAAACCATTTTGCATAGTTGGTGGCTCCCCTGCTCTAGAAACAGTCTTCACCTGACTTCCAGGGACCCTGCCCTCCTGAGTTTCCTCAAACTCCACTGGCCGCTCCCTGCCAACCTCCTTTGCTCCTTCCACATTTCCCTAACACTGTGACACTTGGCTTTGTGGCTCAAAAGTTGGTTCTTGCTTGCTTTCACTAATTATTTTGCATGTTATACCTAGAGTCCTTCCCCTACCCCAGGCAAGTATTTCAGTGTGTTTCGTAAGTGTGTCTGTTTGTATGCACTTGAGAAACGTGCTTTTCTCTGTAATGTGTCATGTTTCATTGTATTGCCCACCTAGTGTCTTCTCGGGCTATAGGTTCTGTCTCAAACAGGACTGTGAGGCCCTTTGGCCTCATCCTCCTCTCCCCTCCCTGCCATGTTCTGGGTCTTCCTGGCACCCCAGATCAGCCTTGTCCGCACGTGAGACAGGGGAGCCACACAGGCGTTGCCTCAGGCTGCACCAGGACATTCCTCAGAGCTGAGTCCTGTCCACACAGCCTGCTTGCCGGAAACCATGCAGGACCCATCTTCCTCCTGCTCTGATCAAACCCCAAGAACCATATCACCAGGGGCCATGGCAGGGATGATCTTCTAATGAAAAAGAACCATTTGCTTGTTCTCTTCACAGCTGAACATGAGTGAAGGGAGATGTGCACCCACTTAAAAGTTTGGCTCTTCTCTCTGCAGAAGCCCCTCCACTCCCTCACTTTGTTCAAGTTCAGTCACTTATCCACACTCCAGACATGGCCTGAGCATGCCTTCAAGCCTGCCTCACAGAGACACCATGCAGGAAGGGCACAGGATAAGGCATAGGCAGCCTAAGGGCAGCAATGCGTAAGGAGAGCACACAGAATTCAGGGGGACCACTGCCCTTGGTCTTAACCCTTTTTGGGCCTCAGGGCCCTGCATGTAAAAACGGGCTTCCTAAGAATATCAACCCTGGTGAGATGTGGTGAGGAATGAACATGGCATGGTGTGGCTTAACACAGCTGCTAGTAACAAGAAAAACCTAGTCCATGAGACATCTGCTCCATGTGGACAGGATGGGGTGACCCCGAGGGGAGGATACTAACTCCCTCTGTTGGTGGGGATGGGCAACCAGGGAATGCTACACAGAGCAGGTGTCATGTCTCTGGGGTTTTGCAGAGAAAAACTAAACATAGGGTAGTTGCTCCTGGAGTTTTTATTCACTGTTTTAGCAGGAACTATTAACAAATAAAGGCTTTAGTTTCAAACAAACAAATTGACAAAAAATATCTTATTTCTCTAGAGGGCAGGGAAAGTATAAAATTCTGAATTTTCATGTCGAGTATGATCCAAGTTAGAGGAACTCGGTCACCTGCAAACCTCTCCCTCCCTCCACGGGAAGGAATTTGAGGCTTCCTAGGTGACCAGGAGCCGGGCTTCTTCTGTTGCCTTAATTTCCGTTCATCTGAGAGAAAATGAAAGCCAGGGTCTTTGTGCTCCAAGCCAAGACCCAGATGCAGGCTGCCTGCTCCCCAGATGAGACTTCCTGGGCTGCCTCTCCCAGCCTGAACCAGCACCATGCACCCTAGAGAGAGGCCGAGTCCCCACTGTTTCCCTGGGGCCCATGGAAGCCCCTGCCTGAGCCTGTGGTCCTGGGAGCTGGGGAGAAGGTAGAGATGCTGCTATCAGAGGTCCAGGCTAAGGACAAGTGGGGCAGGTGGGGCAGGTGCTGCTGGCCATGGATAGAAAGGCAGGTGAGTTCCAAGACCCTAGCGGGCCAAGGACTGCTCAGGCCCCTTGGGAGCAGATCTGCTCCCCAGAGAGTCACCAGGCAAAGGCAGAATCTCCTCGTGACATCTCAGAAGCTTGTCCAACATCAGAAGGCAAGCCCCGCCTATTTAACGTGAGGCCTTAGGACCAGCCTCCCTGGATGGGGCATCCGAAGGGCCCCTCCCTCCCTCCAAACGCACTCAGCCTGCAGAGGATACAAGGGACCAGGGAAAAAGAAAGACCTGAGGGCCTCTGTATAAGGGGCTGGCCATCTGTGCTAGGACAAGTTGCTGCTTCTGCTACAGGAAGCCCAGATAGGACTGGACTGGACTCAGACCACTTACCCCAGAAGTCCAAAAACCCAATCATTGCATGTCTCTGAGAGGTCAGGGGGCTGGGATTCTAGAGCTGCTGGTTAATCCCAAACTCTAGCCCATGCTGATGGTCCAGGTATCCAGCTTACCCTCAACCATCTTCTGGGACACATGAAGCAAACAAAATAGCCCTATGGTTCCATCTTCATTTTTCAGACAATTTCCCAGGGCTGAACAAGAGCTGGTGGGTTAATCCCCTCATTTCCAGTAACCTTGGGCCTTCAGGACAGAGTCCATGGCCTCATTTCTGAATCTGCTTTGTCATTGTTCAAGCCTGTTACTGGCATGTGACAACGGTGGGGGAGGGGGTGTGTTACAGACTCCTGAGTCAAAGCTCCTAGTTATACATCTAGGCCTAAACACGTGGCTGTGGGACCCTGTGGAAGTTATCCAGACTCTGTGTTTTGCTCTCCCCCATCTATAAATGGGATAATAAAAGGTACTACCTCATCATGTTGCAGTGAAGAAAAAATGACCCAGTCATTAGCTGGGTCCCTCGCACACTACAGGTGCTTAGGAGACATTAGTCCTGCTCTAACCCCTGCCACATGCCTGGCCTGGAAGGGGCTTTCTGGAGACCCTGGCTCAGGGCGCTGGCTGCCTGTGAAAGGGAGGCCCAGGAGCCCAGGTCCACAAGGAGCCCTGAGGTCTGTGAGATGTGCTGACCTCACCTGGCACAGACAAAGGGAGAGAGGGGGAGCTGGTCAGGGTCCAGCTGTTGGGGGAGGCGAGTGAGGGAATTCACTCTTGATGGGGTGCCTTTTCCACTAAATTAACATTGCCCCAGTCTGATGGAGCAGTAGAACACCATGCCCATCCTCTCCTCAAGAGCCAACCTCCAGCACCAGGAAGCCCCTGCCTCCAGCCGGCCATGATGATGACAGAACAGGCTAAATCAGAGGAACCTGGCTTTGCTCCGAGGGTTGGTGGGTGGGGAAGGCGATCAGCAGCCAGGGCTCTGGGGAAGAGAAGCATGGCCACCAGGCGCCTCCAGGGTGAGACCAGGCCCAGCTCCCCCCGGCTCTAAAACACAAGCTTCTTGGGAACCTCCCATGGGAACTCGCTTCTTCCGAAATGGCCGTAGCATGCTGTCTTCTGGTAGATGGGCTTCTTCAAGTCCAAATCCCTGCATGTCCAGAGAAGGGAAGGGCATTGGAAGATGGAACAGGTGCAGGGTTTCTTTCTCCATTTCAAGGACAGGAGGGAGCAACGAACTGTAGCATAGCCCTCCTCACATGGCACTACACCTCCCCCCAGCAGTTGCACACACACATCCTATCTGTGCCATACCACGGTCTCGTTTTATAGCCCCACAGATGCTCAGAGGTTCAGGGACCAGGACCTAACTCCAGCCTTCGGATGCCTTTCTCCTCCCACTCCACTTACCTGGCCCAGGCCAGTGTTGACACCACCAAGCTCTGGAAACAGGGAATAGACTTGCTGACTCGATTTCCAGCCATTTGAGCCATTTGGCCTTATATTAATAATTATTTTCCTAAGATCCCCGCCTGCCTCCCAGCTGCTCAGAGATGGCCCCACCGGAGTTGGTGTTGGCTTGGCCAGCAGGAACCTGGGGTGGCCTCCTTCAACCTGACAGCCAGGCTTTCTGCCCTGGGGATGCAGTGTGCTGTACCAGGAGCTCACAGACCCTCCCACTTCTGAGAGGCAGAAACATCCTCCTTTCTGCCTCCCTTTCAGGTGAGGTGAGCAACTGGGCAAGGAGGGAGCAAGGTCCTGTGTAATAGCGGAGCATGGCACTTTACCTGACAATGACACCTGGCCGGAGGTCGAAGTTCTTACGCACCACATCCAGCAGCTCTTGCTCTGTCTTCTGAGAGGTTCCATAGGTGAAGATGGAAATGGACAGCGGCTCGGCCACACCAATGGCATAGGAAACCTTCCAGCAAGGTGCAGCGTCAGGGACTGAAGCCTCTGTGTGGGCCCTGCCCCTCTCAGCAGCTTTGCCCTTCTTCTGAAGGGACCAGCGGGACCACACGTCTCCTGTCCAGCATGCTCCCCTGCAATTTTCCTGCTATCTTCACCAAGGACAGTTATTCTACGTGCCCCTCTCCCTGAAGATTTTGGTTTTCCCTCCCACAAGGTTTTCAGAGCCCTGGCCACAGTGCCCAACACAATCACACAATCATACAATCACAACCTTTGGCAAAGCGTGTGGCTTTCCCACCGGGCCAATATCCCCTTATTCAGGGCAGAGCTGGGCAGGGGTCTTCCGCTGCAACAGGACGGTGGTGGGTGGAGGGGCTTACCTGGACGAGCACTCTCCGGCAGAGCCCCGCCTTCACCAGAGACTTAGCCACCCAGCGGGCAGCGTATGCAGCTGAGCGGTCCACCTTGGTGTAGTCCTTCCCAGAGAAGGCCCCACCACCATGAGCCCCCCAGCCACCATAGGTGTCCACAATAATCTTACGGCCAGTGACACCCGCATCCCCCTGCGGAGGGAGAGAAATCAAGATAAGAAGCAGAGCCAGCCCCTAGATGCTAGAGGGGGCTGAAGCACTCTGATGGCAGCTGAACTGCAACTCAGGAACGATGTCCTGGGGCTGCCCACAGACATTTTCGTAAGACTCCTTTGCCCAAAACTCTGGACCCCACTCCCAGCTCAGTCATTGCCCACATACTGAAATCAGGTAACCTGCCAAAGCTTCATTAGAAAGTACAGAAGGTGGGCCAGGGGTTCTCTGGGGTCACAGCCACTCCCTAATGCCTTTGTTACTGAGTCCATCACAATGCAGAGATCCAACTGCAGGCAGGAATTGCACTGTCAAAAACACAACCCTGGCTGGTGCCACCTAGCAAATGCCATGTTGTCCACTTCCCAAGTGTGCTCTGGGCAACACCAGTCAATAGTCATGTCTTTAAAAGGGTGGGAGTTCTATGTTATATGATTTGGGGAAGTCTGCCTACTCTACCCCCCCTTTTAGAGATCCACAGTTCACACTAGTATGTCTAGGCTTTGAGAAGTCCTGCAAAAAAAAAACAATTAAGTGTGACCTCCTTCTACCCTGTATTTCTACATTCCACTTGCTCCTGGAACCCAGGATGGGGCTCAGCTCTGTGGCAAAGCACGCAAGCTGAGGGCCCGGGCAGTGGGCAGCAGCCTGGCAGCGGTGCTCTGCAGCCTCCACTCCTCACACTTGCAGTACAGAAGAGGGGCCAGCGGCGCCCTGTCTAAAACACCCTGCCGCACCCGGGCGCCCACAACAGCCAGAGGCAGCCTGTGGTGAAGATCTGGAAACAGCCACCTGGGAACAGCTGGCCACGTGCAAATGCTGCAGCGGGGAATGTGCACCAGAGCAGGGCGAGGCGCAGTGGCCATGGGTAAGGTCGTGGTCACTTGAGATGGCAGCAGTGGGAGGGCCCGGCAGTGCTAAGTGGAGGAATCCTAGGGATATGTCCCCAGTTTCCCACACACTGTCAGACACATAGCAGACCTCCCCAGAGACCGCACTAAATGTACAGAGGCTAAAATTCACCGACTTTACATTTAGTCCACGGTCAGAGCCAGCTGACCCACTCCAAGCTAACTTGCGGTTTTCCTGCTCTGAGACATAAGCAACCCCAGTAACAAAGACAAACCAGGGCTTCGTTCAGAGACAAGGATGCACCTGGGGACCTCCAATGACAAACCGCCCACTGGGCTGCAGGTGGTAGATGGTGTCTTTGTCCAGGTACTTGGCCGGCACTACGGCCCTGATGACCTGCTCCTTCAGGGCCCTGCGCATCTCCTCCAGCGTGATGTCTTCGTTGTGCTGCACGGAGATGACGATGGTGTGGATGCGCACGGGGATGACTGCGCCATTGTCCTGCATGTACTGAACTGTCACCTGTCCATCAGAAGGGTGGGGGAGACACTGTGAGGCTGAGACTGAGCGAATGGCACAAGGTGGCCAGGCACAGACACCCAGGAGGAGGTGGGCAGGGCTCCCAGAAGCCAAGTGGGGCCTCCTGTCTTCAAAGGGTGTTGGGGGAGTTAATCTGACACATTCTTACATTCAAAAAATTGCCTGGTGCTGTGGGGGGACTGGGTGTAAGGCCCAGTTGTTCCCACATGGGACCACAATTAGCACTGCTTGGAGACTTGAGTTTCCTCTCAACTTATGACCCCCCTCTTCTGTCTCAGATGTTTCCAGGTGCCAGCAAATGTCCCCATGGCCAAAGCCCTTTCTTGACCCTCTATAGCCCAGGAGGTATCTCTCCTCCTGCCAATGATGCACATAAGAAAGTCAAGGATCCAAAATGTAAATGTCTTGGTCAAGATCACACAGCTGGAAGAGTTGGGACCTGACCTGGAGCTGCACAGGCTGGTAGACAGGGCTCTTCCAAGAAGAAGGTTGGTTGCTGCTCAAGACCCTGTGCCGGCCACAGGCCCAATACTGCTGAAAGCAGCATGGACCCACAAGAGCAGGGCTCAGAGGATCTTAGGAACATGTGGTGCCTGCAGGGGTGCAGCTCTGCCAGAGGACCCTGGGAGGAACACTGGCCAGTGGGCATGGGACTGCTCCCATCCCAGGGCCTGGACAGAACCATGGGGCAGCAAACAGTGGCTCCCTGGGACTGTGCCTGCAGCAAGCTCTCTACCTCCCCAAGGCTACTCAGGTATCCATCAAACCCTGGATCTGTAACAAACTCCTACTCTGTGTTCTGCCTGGTCTAAGGAGCAACAGGGAAGGTCCAGAAGAAGCAGAAGAAAGAGCCCTGGCCATGTGAGATCTGCATGAGATGGCCCGATGCACACAGATCTCGCGAGCTGAGAGCAGCCCTCAAATGCCAGGCTGTGCATACATAGGGTCCTGGGAGAGGGGCTGGAATCTGGGGTAGGACACTCCCAGGAAGATAGGCACTGTCTGTGACAGACTCTAGGACTGGGTCTGCTGCATGGAGCCTCAGGAAAAGGCGCACAGCCGGAAAGGGTGCTCAGGCCGTCTCCACTGTTCCCCTGGGTGACTCCACCCCCACCCGCTAGACTCCACGCAGTGGCCTTGCAGAACTGCAGAACAGGGTGGCAGAGCAAAGGGCCCTGAGCACAGCGCTTATCTCATCACGTCAGCAAGATGTGGGGAAAAACACACCATGGAAAACACAGCTCTGACCAGGTACAAAAATAGCCATCTGCACCGCCACCCAGGCCTCACTATCAGCAGCAGGGATTTGTTCAGGTGGAAGGACCCATCCTGCTCACAGCCAGCACTCCGGCTGGATAAAAACACTGCTTCACAAACAGGGTGCGGAGCAGGGGACCTAGACAAGCCGTGCCTGGCCCAGGGCCTCTCTCATGGAGGGAGTGAGTCGAGCAAGCCAGGCTGTTTGGAGGCCAGCAGGCGAGGGGCCTCCTGGGGCCCCACAGCAAGCCTGCACCCCCTGCAACTGGAGCTGGTCCGCGGTCCTGCCTGTGGCAGGGGAGCGAGGCTGACTCTGGTATCCGTATTGGCATTTTCAAGACAATTCTTCAAAGGAAGGGAAGCCCTAAAAGAGCCCATCCTACCCTCCCTTCCTTGCTGACCCGTAAACCTAGAAACCCTCTATTTCATATCTAAGCACAATGAACCTGCTTCAGCAGGTCCAGTAGGTGGTCCCTGTGTTCCTCTCTCTTGCACAACGAAGAGAAAAACAGTCAGCGCCATTGGCTGCCTCCCCTCCCTGTTCTAAGATTTCCCCTTCTGTGAATCTTCACCCTGCTTCTATGTTGCAGCACCATTCCAATCCAGGACAGGACAGGCAGGCCGACATCATGGGTCCCTTTCTTTAGGTGCCATCACAGTCTACGTGCTTTAGCTCTCCTAACCCACGACCTCCAAGAACACCCAATGAATGCTGATGGTTCCCATCCCCCCTTGGGGGGGGTCACGTGGATAACACAGGAAGTCCCAAGGAAAGGTTTCCTTTGGGCATAAGCATGCTTCCCTGCCCGAGTACAGCCAGTATGCAACCTCTACCCTGTGCATGGTCTGACACTTGCACAAGAAGGAACTCCATCTCTGTACAGCTGGAGTTGTACATGGAGCCACACACAGCACGCTGAGCTATAGCACCATGGCTGCCAGATTCCAAGTGCAGGACAAGAGAAGGCGCTGTCTGCTAGTGGCCAGGGATGGCATCCCAGAAGAGGTAGAACTTTGCTGGCCACTCAAGGACAGGTGAGGACCAGAGAGGGAGCTCAGGTAAAGCAAAGCCCTAAGAAACAAGGGGACCATGATTGAAATGATGTCAATGAAGCAAAGATGGGGTGGGGCAGGCAGAGGCAGGTAAAGTTGGAAGACCATAAAAGGTTCTGAATGCCAGAATAACAAGTGGATTTCCCCTGTCCCCTTGTAGGAAGCCAAAAGTTGTAGAAAACACTGAACAGATGTTAGGAAGTTAAAAATGAAGCCTAAAGGGAATTAACTGGAATTTCCAAGCAGGGAGAACCTTTGGGAGGGTAGGGCACTGATCCTGGCCTGGCTGGGATGATAGAAGCCCTGGGGAAGGCTGGACTGGAATGAGAGGAGTGCTTGATGGGGCAAACTGGGGCAAACTGGGGACATGGGTAGGTGGAGAGAGATGGCACTGAACAGGATTGGGGAAGGGCAGGCAGGAGGTGGCAGGGTGCTGCACACAGCAGGCTCTCAGGGCCCATCTGCTTGGAGGGTGACCAGAGAAACCCACAGGCGGGAGATGTGGGAGCTGAGTATGTGAAGGTGAGAATGGGGTCCATGAGCATGGATACAGGGAGAGAGGTTGTGCAGGACGAATGCTGGGAACTTGGGAATCACAAGAGGGGTCACTGGGGTTAAGCAGGGAGGGGATACAGGAGTGAGGTGCTAGGAGGCCTGTGTCTCTGCTAACACTTCCATCACCCCAGCCTTCAAATATAGGCCTCTGGTTGATTTCAACACTGCAGAGAGAAGAGAGGTCAGGGCCCATGGGGTTGGAGCTGGAAACAACAGAGGTAAAGCCTTTTCATGAGAAACAAAGATAAGAAAAAGGGCCATGATGAGACAGACGGCACAGACAGCACAGACACAGCACAGACAGCCTGTTCAGGACAAAGAGGCCTGGAAATATGGAAGCCAGTTAAGAAGTATGTTTGTGGCAGGATTTGGGGACTCATTAGTCAATGTTTGCTAATGAGCAAACAAACAAACAAAAAAACCCAGAACTATCCTTTCCATTTTTCTGTATTTTTGAAACTTTTTATAATAGAATGTGAGAAGCATCTCTAGCTGAAGATTTTTCACATAAATAGTTCTTTTCAAAACTGACCATTCTTTGAGTGCCTAGACTGAATATTTTGATCTTAAAAATGACAGAATCAAGAGGATTTGGGGGTGTTAAAGCTTCTGTCTATGGCTCTCCGGGGGTCATTCAGCTGCTCACCTGAGTCTTAGAGTCAGGCCGCAGCCAGGGGAGGAGGCCGGAGCGCCTGAGGTCCGCCATCCGGGCGTTGAGCTTGTGGGCAAGGATGATGGTGAGGGGCATGCACTCCTCTGTCTCGTCGGTGGCGTAGCCAAACATCAAACCCTGTGGTGAGAGAGCAGGCTGAGCGGCGCCCACCCTAGACCAAGAGGACCGCGGCTCTCTCCAAGCCCGAAATCTGCCTGGTGTGTTCACGTTGATTGGGTGCCTCCTCCATGGAGCTTTCCACTGGCACGTGCAGGGGAAGGATGTCATCCCTGATCCCCAACACTCTAGGAGGGGGAGACAAGCCCAAACCCAGTGTTAGCAACCACAGACATCCACAGCATGGCCGTGAAGCTGAGGTACCCAACTCATTCCCAGCTCTTGTGCTAGGATGAGAGTGATTTCTGTGTTATCCACCCCTCAGTATGGTTAACTCACTGCTCATGAACTTTCCCAGCCAGCTCAACACACAACTCCCACATGCAGTGCTGAGCTACCTGATCTCCTGCCCCGACATCCTCCTCGTTTCTGTCCAGATGGACGCACTGGGCAATATCCGGGGATTGCTGCTCCAAAGCCACCAGCACGTTGCAAGTCTTGAAGTCAAAGCCTAGGTGGAAGCAAAGTGAGCCTAAGTGGGGCACAGGTCAGAGGGAGGGGGCCATGAGCTTCCCGATGGATGGCTCAGTTCCCGACATGCCATTTGGTGTCAGGGTGGGGTGTCCCTAACTAACCAGGGTCTGTCTAGGCCCACAACTGAGGCCCAGGATGGGAGAGGCCCTGCACCTTCATGTAGAACTCTTTGGCCAATGAAAATTCTCCGTGGTGTATTTTATTGTGCCCAATTAGAACTTGGTTAACACACACACACACACACACACACACACACACCCTACAGAGACCTGCAGATTAAAACAAGGTGATGCCAAGGCTCCTCTGGCTGAGGACGGTGGCTGACTCACACCCTGCCCCTTAGGCTCTCCCACAGGTGCCTCTCAGAACCCAGTTTGCTATCACTGCACTAGGAGAAAATCAAGAGCCCTTTTGACACTGTCACTCAGAAGCCCAGCTGTGTGCCTGAGACAACTACTAAACATGCTGAACAAATATAGTGTACATGAACTACCCAGACAGACTCCCCGAGCCAGGGTCCTCTGACCCTGAGAGGTACACAGAGTCTGGGGCAAATGGAAAAGCCACCTGCCCTTTCCCACCTGCAAAGCTGAGGCACGGGGTATAGGCCTGCTACCCCTGGCACGCTGGGCACTGATTTGGGAAAGTCTGGACTAGCAGTAGCTCAGCCCTGGGAGCCCCATAAGGAAACTGCTATGCACCGAGACTGTGCACACCTCCTCATAGCTGTGCTGGGCTCAGCCACAGGGACTGTGAGAATAAGGGGCTGAATACATGGATGCCCCCACCACGTCAAGCATAGTGACACACTCACTTTCCAAACTCCCACAGCCATGTTCTTTCCCATCTATTCTCCTACCCACACAGCCTGAAAGGACTTACAGAGAAAACACACAGATCCAAGCTGTTGTTTCTGTACAAGCTTCAGGTGGGGATCTACTGCCAAGGAATAAAACTGAAGCTTTTCAGTCTGACACAGCCCTTGCTCCCAGGACTCCTTGAGCCAACATGAACTCAGGTTTAGCCATCAGCATGATATACTTTTCCATCTCCACTAGGTCCCTGCCTACAACGTTCTTCCTTCAGCTCCCACCCCACATGTCCAAACCCTATGTCCACCCTCAGTGCATGTCCCCGGACCTGCCTGCAGTTCATCACACATGATGCCAGGAACTTACCCCGGGCACCTCATGTTGCATCATATACCCTAGGAGTATCAGGTCACCTTTGCCCTTTACACCTTCCTGTTTCCTAATGAATGTTTTTGAATGCACAAATCAATGAACAGTCTTTAAAGAACTGCCAAAGGCTGTCCTGTTCTGCACTGAACATTTCACAGTTTACCTAATCACTGTCTGTCTAAATAACAAATCTCCCCAGGGCTCAAAAATCAAGCAAGGGCTCCAAGGAATTTGGAAAAACAGAACTTAGGGGACCAAGAGGAGAGGTACAGGGCTTGGAAAGGACAATGAGGCCAGCAACACCACAGCCAGGAGCAATGAGGAGCCATTGGCCTGAGACCCTGCTAAAGCTGTTACTGCACATGACCTAAGGCTGTTCCTGTCCATCGAGCACAGGTAAATGGACAAACTTGGGCACAGGGAACCTCAGCCTGCTGAGCCCAACTCAGCCATGGCTGGGCTCTCGCTCATTTCTCCTTCCTAGGGAACATTGCCTCCTGGAAAATTTCCCTCCTACCTAATGCGGAATAAGTTTTGCACTTGAATAAGGTCTAAATGTACATAAACAAACTGGCTTTTCTTGGTAGAACAGGCTCCGTGTGGTAACGCCTCAGGAAGCTGCAGCTCTGGGACAATGTGTTTCCTCTGTGAATACCCTCATGTCCCGACCAGGAGAACTAACCGGCTCTTACCGCTTCTCTTCCCACTGAGTCTCAAAATCACTGTCATCTATTCAACCAACAGTAATTGCTCATGAGCGCTTTGGGCTGCGCCAGGCCGTGGCTGGACTGAACCTCTGTGAGTCTGCACCATCACACCATGAGTGGGCTCTCTCACTTACAAAGGGGGTGTCTGGCATCTTTACATATCCTGACCCACAGGATGCCACACATCACCCTAAGCAACCATTATGTGACACAGGCAGAAATGAACACCTTTAAAGTCATGCTTCTCTCTGTGCCTCTTGATTACAGGTGTTTATCTAGGCAGGTTGACCTGGAAGTGGGTCTTTTTGCCATGGTGTGAGGTCACCACATCTCTCACAGTGATTTCAGAGAATTAGGGAGAGAGCCAACAGAGAGCCAAAATGGATTTTTCTTTAAAAATTGGAATTGCCTGAACATCTAATGCCAGAGACCAATGTGGAGACTCTAACAATGGGGACCAGAGCCCTGCCCAGGAAGCCAGCGTGGACAAAGGGTCCCTGAAACTCCTGCAGAATGTGATCGCACACAGGCCCTCCGCACCTGGTGCTTGCTCTCTGGGTCCTCTGCTGCCCTCCAGGCTGTACCGCTGCCTGGCCTGCCCAGCCTCAGATGTTGGAATCTGCTTCAAGGCTCTGCTAGGGCCTGTGCCCCTTCCCTGGGTGGTGGCCCTATACTACGTGGCACAGGTGCTAACCTGGACCAGCCTCATCTGCTGTCAGCACCAGTTCTGGACTGAGTCATCTTGCTCCATGTCTATGATTAGAAGTATGTTTAGTGGAAGCACAGGAGTCCCGAGCCTAGTGGCTGCTTACCCTGTGATCTCACACAGACTGTTTACTCCTCTAGCCCTCCATTTCCTCATCTGCATAAGTACATAAATGATTAGGAAAACACAAAAGACTATCACCAGTGCCTAGCAGGGAGCATGTCTCCAAAGAAGGGCAGCCCCCTTTATTCAGTGCATCTTTCTCTCCAAAGCCTTTGCCAGTGCCAAGAAGGCAGGACCAAAACAAGGCCAGTCAACAACAGATGGGCATGTGCTGGGCCTGCGGGGCATAGTCACCTGTTGGCCATCCTTATGCCAGAGCCTTTGACCTCTGAAACCTGACAGACAAGTGTAGGAGTGTTTTCCTCCTGGTAGTGTTGATACTCCCATCAGGCTGAAAGGCATGGGTTTGACTCAGCATCGGGGTCTCTATTAGCAGAGAGTAACAGGGATTTCAGACCCGGAGGCCTGCCCTCACCCTTGGCCGAGTCATCATAGCCGATGTGCTTGATGGTGTCCCTCACCACTCGCTGGTAATCCACCATGGCCATTGAAGTGATCTCGCCACACAGCAGCACCATGCCAGTCTTGCACACCGTCTCTGAAAGGGAGTGGGGAGAGTTAGCAGCCAAGTGCCAGCAAAGGGAAGCTTATATTCCCAGACCTCTCACAGAGCAGACAAAGAAGACACACAAGGGGCCTCATGAGGAATGGATTCCAGAAGGAAAATAGAAATGCCAATAAAAAGAAAAAATCCTAGCACCAAGCACTGAGCATCTTTCAATGCTGTCTTGGAAAGAGTCAGTCGTAAGTGGTGATCCTGGACAACTTATTTAACCCCTCTAAGTCTCTGTTCCCTCTTCTATTTAATAAAGCTGTTTATAAGACTGCTGTGTGGATTAAAGGGAGATGATGGTTGTATGGAGCTGTCATAAAGAACATAGTCCACACATGTGACCCCCCCCATCCCCGACATTGCTAAACCTCCACTGCAGGCTTTAGGGAGTGGGATCCAGACCAAAAAAATCAAAGCAGGCCAATCTTCTCTCCAGATATTTACAAAAATATAAGGGTAGAATCTACCCTCAGAGGGGATGAATCCCTGTAGTATTCAATACAGGGGCGAGAATACAACCAGAGAGAGAAGGATGGGTCCGTGCAGTGGACAGGACATGACAATAACAGTAAGGAGAGCAGGACTCTGGTCTTCACACTGGGGAGCTCTACCCCATGGCCTTGGCCAGGCCCTGATGCAGAGGGCGCCGTGATCCTGTCTCTGAAATGAACAGCCTGGACCTGATCACCCTGGGGGCCCTCCAGGCTCCAGAGTCCCTGACTCTGCCACTGTGCCATGGGCTTCAAGCCAGGCAAAAGTTTTCTCGCCAAACAACTTATCCCACAAATAAAGATGAAGATCTTCAGCCTACATGAGTCTTCAGACACAATAAATTATGCAGATGGGAGCCAGGGCTTCAGTACTTTAGTTTAACATTAATGTCTCTTAGGAAAGCCATTGATTTATTGAAAAACAATTGATGAAGATGCTACCTTCCAGTTGCTATTAATTGGGGGACACTAATTATTTTAAAACCTAAATCGTACCACAAACTAGGAAAGAAAACAAGAGAAGCCAGGTATCTGTGCAGCCAACAGAGGCTCCTAGAATGAGGGTACAGCTTACAACCATGTAGGCAGCTACCTGTGTTTCCAGCTGTTTCATCGCGTCTGGAAGATTCACCTAAGAACTTTGAAAGACTCCTTGTTCCCAATGAGATCAAGCATTAGAAAGGTCATGTGCTGGTCCAACCCTCTGCTATTTATGGTTGCTATGACATCTAACATCAGATTCTTGCTAAAAATAATTATCTATTTGTTTCATTAGAAATGTTTTTCCTCCCTGTTATTACACAGGCGAGGTCTCATAATTGAGAAATCTACTGCAGAGCAGAGGACATGGGTTTTGGAACTGAGGAGTACGGCTCGTTTGTCTTATGCCCATGATTAACTTCTCAGTCTAGCTACTTAGGTCTCCAGCAGGAAGGGATCGGGTGTTTCTTACCACAGGCCACCTTGGCATTGGGGTCTTGCTTGAGGTGGGCATCCAGCACTGCGTCACTGATCTGGTCACAGATCTTATCTGGGCAAGAGCAAATATGGGTCAGAATCACAAAAATGTTAGGGATAACAAATTGAAATGTTAAAACAATTAGATATCTTTTCAGTTTACATATCAACTTATCTACCAGAGGGAAAACACTTTTTTAAAGTATAAGAAATTAGAAACACTTTGAGATTTTTATTTCTTTCCATTCCTGCCTAATTTTGGATGGCATGTATTATATAAAGTCACAGAATGCCCTAAAAAAGAAATAACTTTTTTTTTTTTTTGAAATGGAGTCTCGGTCTATCACCCAGGCTGGAGTGCAGTGGTGCGATCTCGGTTCACTGCACTCTCCACCTCCCGGGTTCCAAGCAATCCTCCCACCTCAGCCTCCCAAGTGGCCAGGATTAGAGGCATGCACTACCATGCCCAGCTAATTTGTTTTGCATTTTCAGTAGAGATGGCATTTCACCACGTTGGCCAGGCTGGTCTTGAACTCCTGGCCTCAAGTGATCCCCCTGCCTCAGCCTCTGAAAGTGCTGGGATTACAGGTGTTAGCCACTGCACCCAGTCAAAATCAGCTCTTCTAGGAGTCTCAAGCAACTCACACATATACAAACACATACACGTTCTTCTAAATAAAAAGTCTCTCATTCCTCATCATGGTCCCTTTACTTCTAACATCTAGAAAAGTCCTGGAAATGAACTTAAAAATAGTTAAGAAGTCAATTTTACCTCTTTGCCAAGAGGTAAAGTCAGACGGCTCAAACAGTTGCATTGCATGGCAGGTTCCACAAGATGCAATGCACCGTATATAAAACACCACACCCAAGTACATGACTCCACCCATAAGAATTCTACAAGATATCCCCTATACATCATTGCTGTTTGCAGAATACTTCCATAAGCAGCTCTCAGATCCTCCCACATGGTCACTCAGCCTCCTGAAAGCCGGGTGTCCTTAGAGCTGAGTTTGACCTCTTCAATTAAGGTGGGACTGACAAGAGTTCAATATGAGCTGGAATTTGATTTTATTCCTCCACTATTTGCCTTAAAGACTCTGCAGGGTCTAGAATGTAAAGCACTAAATGGTGCTTGTAGGAAAATCCACTCTTGCTTTGGGGTTATGCAAACTGTCAGTATCTACAAATTAAGAAATAAAAGTGATATCTACTTACATATATTCTAGCTCATTCAGTGTTAGAAATACCCACAGTCTCCTCTTAATAGAGTAATATGTTTTTGTTAAGAATGCAGATCCAGAATCAAGCAATTTGGCTCTCAAAAGCAGATGTTACATTCTGTAATTAAAGATATTCACTAACTCCCTAATCTTTCCTTTAGAAACTACTGCTAAACATACGTTTGAGGTTGTGTTTTGTTTGTTTGTTTCTTTCTTTCTTTTTTAAATCTAGCCTCCTGCCAGTGGCAGACCCTGGTAGCACCTTTAGGTTTGTCTGAGCGCATCACCTCTGCACACCTCTATCACTGAAGGCCTCCCGCTGATAAAATATCCTAAAATAAATACATGCTAGCCACCTTAGGCCTACCCATCAGGGTTCCTAGAAGCTTGTTGACTGATCATTGATTGTGGATGTCTCTGCCTGTGCAAAGACACAGCTCACAGGCTCCCACTCTGCCTAGGGAAATCCAACATGAAGAGGAACAAAGCTGGAGTCCAGCAGGGACTTCCAGATAGCACCACACACCCAGACAACAGCCAAGGAGGTTGCTTCTGAATTGTTGTTTTTGGTTCTGACTTTCAAAATTTTTATCAATATCACTTAGTAGACTTAAGATAGCCAATAGCTGGTTGTTTTTTTTTTTTTTTTTTTTTTTTTTTTCTGAAAACCGGAAAAGAAAAACTTTATCTTTCTAGCAGAGAGGAATTCAGCAATGGAATGACAAGCACAAAGTCACCTAGCCTTTATGGAAACTGACTTACCGGGACAATTATAATGGCAAGTACAAGGGACAATCAGACAAACTGATTGGCTGTCATTAAGTATACAAAACAATCAACTGATTGGCTGGCATGTTCATTCTCAGTCCTCTGAGCACACGGCTGCTGCACACAATGGGCCATCCTTGGGACCACTGGCCACTGCATGCCAAAAAACCCACTTCCTCCGTGTGGAGTGAATCTTTCTCCTAAGCTATACATGAGGTTCACAGCCATGGAGCTGATCAGAATGTATCTGAGATTGAAAATACAGTACACCTAGATACTTTATACAGTTATGCACAATGAAAGAGGCTATTTACATTGAACTGAGCTAAGTCACATAAAAAACTCAATTCAATTCAAGGTTTTTCAACAGCTGCACTATTAACATTTTGGGCCAGATAATTCTTTGTTGAGAGGCTGTCCTGTGCACTGCAGGATGCTTAGCAGTGTGCCTGACCTCTACTCAACAGATGCAAATAGCACCTTACCCCACCTCCTATAGTTGTGATAACTACAAATGTCTCCAGACAGTACAAAATGCTCTTGGGGGGTGTGGGGCAAAACTACCACCCATCAAAAACTACTGGCTAAAGTACATGGAAGGAGTAGTGCACTGAGGTGTCCAAAGCCAAGTTACAAGGTAGGAAAGATAAATATCTTTGAGGAAGAACAAGAGCAAGGAAGATAGAAAAGGGCAGACTTCGTAATAAGTTAGCAAACACTCAAATGAATTTTGAAGAGGTACTTAAATACAGAAGTCTGCACATCTATCCCCCAGGGGTCTCCAAGAGCAGTGGTTCTCAGTGTGGTTCTCACCCAAGAGCATCAGCATCTCCTGGGAACTTGTCAAAAATGCAAATTCTGGAGCCTCTCCCAAGACCTACTGAATCGGAAACTCTGGAGGGTGGGGCGTAGCCCTCTGTGTCTTAACAAGCCCTCTGGGGGATTCTGAAGCACCCTGAAGTTTGAGAGCCACTGTCCTACACTCGAGGCTCTGAATGTTCTGGTCCTAGTTCTCACTGTCATCAAGGAAGTTTCTCTCACTTCCCCACATCACAGTCCACCTACTTTTCAGGGACCAAAACTAATGCCTAAATTTTCTTCCTGTTTAGAAGGTCTTCTATCCTGCTCTTAGAGAATGTCACTGAGTCGCCAGCACCTAGAGGTCTATCCCTGCAGTGACCAGGGTGCAGGCTTTCATGCCTAAGTTGCACATGTTTTACATGCAAAACTTAGTCACCCATGGTCTTGTTTCAGGAACATTCTCTGTTGACTTAAATTGGCCATTGATAACAGATTAAAGCTTTGCTCAAAAAAAAAAAATACATACAAAAAGTTAAGACCTGATCATACATTTTGCATGTGCCATACTCTTAGCCAGCCAGCTGCTACTCCCTGTCTTGGCCCCACTGTGCTGGCATGCTGGTGGTGGGCCACAGCACGGCTTCATCAGGAGGGAATGTTTTATGAAACTACTCCATGCTGTTTCTCTAGAGATCCCTTCTGGTAACTCACACACATTGCTCTGAAGAGTTCTAGGAAAAGTGACTCCTACAGGTACGAAGTTACAGTCAGATAGGAGGAATGAGCTCTGGCATTCCATTGCGCAGTAGGGTGACTGAAGGGCTAGAAGAGGGAATTTTGAATGTTTTCACCACAAAGAAGTAGTCAATGTCTGTGGCAATGGGCATGCCCATTACCCTAATTTCATCATTACATGTTATATTCATGGATCAAAACAACACACTGTACCCCATAAATATGCACAATTATTATGTGTCAATTAAAACCATTTGTAAGCGACTCCCTCAGTATAGGCTTGGAATGATGGTTTTCCAGTCATTCCAGGACAGCCTACTTACCTGGGTGTCCCTCTCCCACAGACTCCGACGTGAACATGAAGGCTCCTTCTTCACTTAGAGAGTGGTCACACAAGCCATCCACTGGTCCATTCATCTTCTCACACTTCTCCACTCACGCTTCTTCCAGGGAACAATTTTAAGGCTGTGACTTTGCCTGAGTTTTCTTCTTCTTCTTCTTCTTCTTCTTCTTGCAACTCAACAGGCTTGTCTTTGGCAGAGCCACGGGGATCACTTCTGCCTAACTGCCTGTGAGCACGTGAGAACGGGCGAGGACTGCTGAGAAGGGAGGGATCGGATGGAACTCAGGATGTGTCCCACCCTCCAGCTTGCCACAGCTTGCTCCTGAGCGACTCCTATATATGGAAAAGCGAAAGTGCCTGAATAATCATGTGAGAAAATTGGAGGAGTCCATTTCCTAAAAGGGGGGTCTTCTTACCTGGAGGAATTCCAATTCTTACCCCTGACTTTCCAAACTCTAAGCACCTGGTCAAGGTAAGGTAAAGAAGGCTGTAGAGTTCTGCAGAATTGAAGCTCCTTTGGGACTCTCCTTCAGCTCTCAGCCAATCTCGGTAGTGCTCCAGAGTTCACAACTCACCTTGGAGAGCAGGGGGTCTGTGGTCACCCAGAGATACAAGCAGGCAATAAGAAACTGTCTCAGAGATATGATTTAGGCTAAGATTGCAACAGTGCCTTTGCTGTTGGGTGTCCCCTCCTCCCCTGCATCTCATCTGGATTGGTCTCTTCCCCTTCTACCTTCTCAGGGAGAGCAGGAGCAGGCACCTGTATTCTCAGCCAGCTGTGGTGTTACACAACAGATTCATTTTAGAGGAAAAGCTTTGAGTCCACGTGTTTCTGCTAACAGAAACCACCTAAACTGTCAACTTCTCTAAAAGGCTGGCAGGCATTTTAACAAGCAAGGTCTTTAAAAAGTATCTATCTGGGGAGGTTACAGAGAACAGTGTGTGTGTGTGTGTGTGTGTGTGTGTGTGTGTGTGTGTGTGTTTAGAAAAAAATGCTTTTGAGAAATGGATTCATTACATGGAAATTATCAAAGTCCAGTTTCCCAAAGCTTCCAGATGATAAACATCTACATATTCAGTTCTATACATGTAATAAATATCGTGTTCACATAACTCTTGCATTATTTTTGCTTTGACCAAAAAAAGTAGTAAACAGGATTATATCTTTAGTTCATGTACTAAATGACAGCGTCTCACACTCTCAGATCCAGCTGCATCCTCAGACCCAAGGAACAATGGGGAATTGAGACCACAGAGAATGAGGATGGGTGGAGAAACCAGTTCCCACTAGAATGCAATAAAAAGTAATCAACCATAACCTTGTGCATCAAAGCTTGGACTGTGGGAAGCAAAAGTTAGGAGGCAATAGCCCCACCTAACAATTCTGGTGACCAAACCCCTCTCTGAGTTCATTATACAAGCATTTCAAAAAAATTTTTCTGGCACACATTCTGGTGCTCCAAAGCTTGAGTTCTGCTAACTGATGACCAGTCAAACATCATCCCTTCAGAGAATTAAAACAGTATTGAAGTAACCTCTTCTGGAATGAAGCAAGGGATGTTACATATGCATAGCCAATCAACGGCATTTAACAAGGAGTGAACTGAAGTGCTTAGGCACAAGACTTGAAAGTTCAGAGAGGAAAAGGCCACTGGGAAGGGATGGACAAATGAGGAATCAAATAGGGACTTTAGACAACATCGCCTTGTCATTGCCAGTACACAGGACCCCTCTGTTTGCACTTAAGCTATTTCAACATTGCTGGCCCTTAGTAAATTTCTTCTGGGTACATTAGTTTTAAACCTAGAGGCAATATGAGCTAATGTTTAATTTGAACTGTAGAACTAGGTGACCCTAGCAGTTAAAATTGTATGATAACAATTATGCTCCACATTTGATTTGAGAACAAGATGATGTGTAAGTAGCAGGTAGGTACTCTTCAAGGTTCCTAGAGCTATCGGGAAGACAGAAAACAAAGCAGTAGCTGCCTTCTGAATTCCATAAGTAACAGCACCATGGGGTGGAAGGCGTCAGGGTGGGGAGATGACCTGTACACAGATATGTGTGCAGAGGGCTTTGGCAGCCTGGATGCCAATTCAGGGTGTGAGGGAGGGATCTGAGAGGCACCTCGTTAAAAACCCATCTCAAGTATGAGTTTCATTTAAGACCCCACCTAAAATACTAGGATGCCTTATATTCTAGCAAGTAAATGTTAATAAGCAGTGCACAGAGCATGGTGGGTGGAAGTGCAGGCTTCTGGACTAGAGTCCAACTTTTGCCTGTAACCTCCCATGCAGCCTGGAGAAGGCCTCCCGACCTCTCTAATCTGTTTCTTCTGCTGTAAAGCAGGTTAAATAATTACCTACCTCACAGTGTTATTTTGAGAACTAAATGAGGTCATTTAGGTATGATAAGTATTGGACATAGTGTTAGCACACAATACAAATTTAATAAATATTAGTTAATAATATTAAGCAGTCCATTTACACATATATGATTTTCTTCTAAACAAAAATAGATTATGGTATGTATACATATGTATATATAGGTACATACAGGTATATACATACATATACACATATAATTTTGCATCTCGCTTTTTTCCCCCCATAATATATCATGGCCCTCTGTTCACATCCCTAAATACAGATAGATTTTTTGTTTTTTGTTTTTTGGAGATGAAGTCTCACTCTATCACCCAGGCTGGAGTGCCATGGCGTGATCTCAGCTCACTGCAACCTCTGCCTCCCAGGTTCAAGCGATTCTCCTGCCTCAGCCTCCTAAGTAGCTGGGATTACAAGTGTGCGCCACCACACCCAGCTAATTTTTGTATTTTTAGTAGAGACAGCGTTTCACCATGTTGGTCAGGCTGGTCTTGAACTCCTGACCTCGTGATCCGCCCACCTCAGTCTCCCAAAGTGCTGGGATTACAGGCGTGAGCCACTGTGCCCAGCAGGCCTTATTTTTTTAATACTTGAATAGTATCTCATAATAAGGATGTACCATAAATTATTAAACCATTCATTCCCCGGTGGTTAAATATTTTCAACTTCTCCAGTTATTTCACATTACTATTATGCTGCAGTGAAGGTCCTTATTCATCAGCATGTTTCTGAAAAAGATAATAATGGAAGGCTCTGGCAGGGCAGAACTAGCCAAAAGACTTCACTTTTGCAATGAATTTTACCTGATAAAAGAAGTAGCAATTCAATCAAGAGTTAAAATTGTAGTTTCAATCTACCCCCTTCAGAAAGAATTGGCAGATCTTAGCAAAGATATAATTACTTTGAGAGTTGAACCCATAAGGACTTCCTGGCCCTAATTTACCATCATAAACACAAATTGAGTCCCCCTTACGCACAGCCTGTTCCCATCTCTCTTATGCTTGAAATGTCCCAATGCCCACTCCCAGCCCCAAACTCCACAGTGGACTGATTACTTAAGTCCAATGTGTCAAAAGGCACACAGTTGATCTTACTGACATGCAGCAGCCTTGAACTCTGAAGCTTCACTGACAAGCCTCTGGAGAAACTTGGCTTTCAAAATAAATATCTCTTTCAGTCAGATTTACCCCTGAAGAATCTCTGAATATAAAACATCCAGTGGAAGACTGTTTCCCATAAGCAGTGCCTGTAAGTCCCACTGAGCAGTTTAGTGATGGAGCTTTGAGGGCACCTGACCCTAGGCAGCACCACAGGGCTGCAGGGCTGGTGGAGAAGCCCTGCCAGATGGTACCCTTTGCTAGCTCTGCACTGCCGTGCCTGATGGGGAGACCACAGGGAGGGCCCTAGGTGCAGAGGTGGGGGGTGCAGGTGTTGTCTAAGTGCAAAGACTTCTAAACTTTGGCTAGAAGCTCCTCTGACTTAAATGGCTAAATAATGAAATATTTTCATGAAATATTTTCAAGTGGATATACTTCTTTTGCCTCATTAATTTAAGCACAAACTCTTCCTATAGATGCCACTCTGGAGCATGAATAAGTTACTTACGAAAGAAAGATGAAATTGATTCAGATTGTACATTTTTGAAATTCTGGTAATTTCAACAATATATGACCTTTGATGGGTAAAATTCCAAATAAGCACTTGTTGGAGCTCAGAAAACAACACTGCAAAGTCTGTCACCTTGGCATGCTGAGGACTTTGAACTGAAGGGGACTGAAGGGGCTTCAGAAGCAAGGTCGCTCTCACCTTCTCTCCCCTCCTCCTGTCTCCCACCCCTCTTTCTTCCCTGAAGCAAGTCATAGAAACCAGAATTCCTCTCCCCAAGGTAGGTCGCAGAAACTAAAACTTCTCTCCCCGAGAGCAAGCCATAAGATGTAGAAAGACCACTCTTCCCTTCTTCCTTGAAGACCCTCAGTCCAGAGGGTCCTACTTCATACCTGGCAAGAAGGAATACTGCACAGAGAGGCCAAGAAGAATCTGAACAGGCAGGCCTTGCTGGGTCCTAATCCCTCACCTAGGTCTATTACCATTAGGTCAAACCCATTGTCCAATCACATGCCTACAAGGACTATCCATTCTTCAAACCTAAGCATAAAAGTAGACAGTTTTCCCTGGGTCTCTGGATCTTCGTTTCTGAAGGCTCCTGTGTCACATGAAACTTTGATTAAACCTGGTTGATGGGATCATTCACACCCCATACCTCAACGTCACTGCAATATATCTTAGTAATACATCTCCACATGTACCCACTGAATCTAAAAGTTCAAAAAAAAAAAAAAAAAAAAAAAGGAAAACAAAAACAGGTTACAAAACAAATTTTACAGAAAGATCTTAATTTTGCTTACGTACAAAATATATCTGCATAGACAAGTGAAGCAAATACATGAAAGCGTTTAGAGTAGATACTAAAATAACAAAAAGAACTTTGATAAAATAAATTTTTTGTGCTTTTCCCTTGTTAATCCATCTTTTGTTATAAGACCATCAGCTGTGAACCTTATGATGGGTAAGGAAAGGTATAACACCTTTCCACCCCTACACACCCACATACAACTCCTATTCTGAAAAGGAAGATAGAAATGTTGAGACTTGATGGAAAAAGCAGGACCCAAGCTAGGGCCCAAAGGAATTACAGGACTTAGAAAGGAAACAGGGAGACAGAGAGGCTCTGGAAAGGAAAACTTCACCAGCCATAGCTGGTGAAGTTAGTGCAGAAGAACACTGCCCCGACTCTACCTGGGGAGGGTGGGAGCAGATAACTGGGCAGGGAGGTAATGGCTGGGAAGCCAGGTACTCCAAGCAGTAAGTAGCCCTGTAGAAAAGCAGCGAAATGGGTTTCATTCTGACAGTGTAGAATGCAAGCTAGATTTGAGGAGGAAGACTCCAAAATCAGAGAGAAGAGTTAAGACTCTTGCCTTGATTGAGGAATAACCTAACGAAGAACAGACCCTGAGATGTTCATGTAATATAATGCAAATCCAGCTGTGCATTGTCATTTTTCAAAACTATTGTTTTTCTTAGTAGAATCACTTCTTCCCCCTACTTTTGAGGCTTGAAATCCTGGGAGGTGGTTTCAATTCCTGATTGTCTATCATCATATCCAAGTTTCCATAGTCTGTTAATTCTCTTTCAAAAGTGCATTGGAATTCTCCCCTCCATTTCTGTGTTCACAGATAGTTACCTCTGCACCCATCCTTATCATCTCACATTTGAGACAGGCATCAGCTGGGGCCAACTTCCCACACCAACATACCCTTCGGGGGTTGGCACCATGTTGCACATACCAGGTGTTTTAAAACTACCTGCTGATTCATACCTAGAAAGATGAGCATCCCAGCTGGGCACAGTGGCTCACACCTGTAATCCTAACATTTTGGGAGGCCAAAGCAGGTGGATCAACTGAGGTCAGGAGTTCGAGACCAGCCTGGCCAACATGGTAAAACCTCGTCTCCACTAAAAATACAAAAATTAGCCAGGCATGGTGGCGGGCACCTGTAATCCCCACTACTCGGGAGGCTGAGGCAGGAGAACCACTTGAACCAAGGAGGCAGAGGTTGCGGTAAGCCGAGATCGCACCACTGCACTCCAGCCTGGGCAACAGAGTGAGACTCCATCTCAAAAAAAAAAAAAAAAAGAAAGAAAGAAAGAAAAAAAGAAGAGCATCCCTTAGGCTAACTCACCCTGAATTAAAGCATGCAAACAATATTTACATAGTGAAGGCCAAATCAATCTCCCCAAAATACTTCCACTCCAGAATATCCTTCATCAGGCAAAATACGAAGCACAGTATCACATACAAAGACAGGGACGACCTGTAGCTACATAATATTCAGCTTTTAAACAAAACAAATAATAATATGCAATGTAATAACCTACTGATAAAGATAAAACAATTTTTAAAACTTTAGGAATTTATAAAGATGCAATGAAGGATACAAAAAGGTAAAGAAAGAAGTGATGTTACTGAAAATGGTGGAGAATTCCAGGACTCCATTTCTCCACAAAATCCATGAATAAAGCAAAATTATCTAAATCAACTTTTGTAGAACTCTGGAATCCAGTCAAGAACTTACTTACAAAAAGCTCAATAAAGAAATAAGTTGCTAAATTGCCTTAAGAGAGTGCTATGGCATTTAAATTGCCTGCCTACCACATCCCACTCTCCAGATCAACATGACTGTGAAGATGGCAACCCATACCCTGAGTTCAGATTGCTAATGCCACAAGGAGAAACATGAACCTTACTCTCAAAAAACTGTGGTTGTAGGTTTCAAGCGGCCTGTCTGGTAGCTCCCTGAAGGACTGGTGCAAGGGCTTGCCTTTGTTTTGCCCAACTCAGAGCTTTCCCGGGACTGGAGCAACTTCCCAAGTAGTGGCCTGCTGAAAGCATTTGAAGGCAAAAGTGTTGGCTGCAGCAGACTAGGGCAATGAATGACACTCAGGACAAGCAATAAACAGGCCAAACTTAGGGAAGAAGGGCTTGGGAAAGGAGATGCCTGGGGGAATAAGGGATTTTAAAAACTACCACCTATACTGGGGGATCAAGGAGAAGAGGTAGATGCCCAGGGTTGCACACATGCTCTGAAAAGACCTGAGAAGACCTTAAGCTCTCACCTCTGGTGAGTTTTCAGGTTTTATGCAAATAGGAAGTGAAGGCTGTGAACCCTGAAAATCTGAGACAGGTCTCAGTTAATTTAGAAAGTTAATTTCCCAAGGCTGAGGACGTGTGCCCAAGGCTGAGGACGTGTGCCCACGATACAGCCTCAAGAGGTCTTGATGACATGTGTCCAAGACGGTAGGGGCACAGCTTGGTTTTCTACATTTTAGGGAGACATGAGACATCAATCCATATGTGTAGGATGTACATTGGTTCAGTCAGGAAAGGTGGGACACCTCAAAGCGGTGAGGGGGCTTCCAGGGCAT